GTCTGGCACTGTCTGCCGCGGCCGCGGCCCTGCCGCTCTTCTCCATTGGGGAGTACGGCACGTCCCCTCTCTGCCTCCCATCCCCCATCCCTGATGGGAAATCCTCCACCCTGGGCTTCACGGTGGCCCTGCTGATGGTGAACACCCTCTGCTTCCTGATCATCACAAGCACCTACATCCGGCTCTACTGCAGCCTGCTGAAAGGGGAGTTTGACCCCATCTGGGACTGCGCCATGATCAAACATGTGGCCTGGCTGATCTTCACCAACTGCCTCCTCTACTGCCCCGTGGCTTTCCTCACCCTCTCCTCCATGCTCAGCCTCTTCCTCATCACCCCAGAGGTCATCAAGTCGGTCCTGCTGGTGGTGCTGCCCTTACCGGCTTGCTTGAACCCCCTGCTTTACCTGGTCTTCAATCCCCACTTCCGCGACGACCTGCGCCTGCTGCGGCAGAGGGGCCAGGCCAAGAGCAGCTGCCCCCGGGCGTGTGTCTCGGATGTCATGGAAAAGACCTCGTACGACTCCACCCAGGCTCTGGTGACCTTCTCCGACGCCGATCATGTAGCCGAGGTGCCTGATGCCTTGCATGGGCCCCCCAGCCTGGGTGCCTACCGTTTCCCCTCCGTGCGGCTCCTCCCCTGCCCGCAGAGGCTGAGTGCAAGAAGGCAAGAGAGCGGCTACTCTGCCTGTCACCCCTGCCTGACCAACAAAGAGTGTGTGAGCTCCTCCGAAAGCAGGGATCCAGCCCGCAGCGGCTGCTCCTCCCCGCCCACGCCATCCTTCACCTCGCACTTGTAAACCTTGAGTGGCCCCCAGGCAGGTCTGCGTCCGGCATCAATGTCCTGCCCTACTGCACTGTAACCCGGGGCAACACGCACAGCAACGCCTGGGCAGTGCAGCCTGAGCCACCATCCCAAGGGCTCAGGGCTCTGAGGGCAGCACGGAAGCGCCCCACTGTAGACAAGAAACGCGTCCCACTCACAGGAAAGGGAGCCCAGCGGAAAACACCAGTGAGCAGGAGGGACCTGCAGTTCCAGCCTGCGGAGATGGGCCCCCGCCTCCGGGAGCGCCTCACGGCCTCTGTGGTGGAATGGGCAACCTTGCCAAGCCTGCTGCCGTCTAACCCAGCTTAGCGCTAGCAGGACACTGGACAGACAGCCTTTGACGAATGCCACCGTGCCCTGGGTTGCCCTTCCCACTCACACAGCGGCGAGACCCAGGGAGGCGATAACGGGAACGTTTGTAAAGGCCGCCTGGCATTTGCCTTTCTCCGGGGCCGAGTGGAGGAGCCAACCACCTTCCCACAGCATCTCACAGCCCTTTGACCCCTTCCCGCTGGGCTGAATCACGAATGGGGCCATCTGCTCCCCCAGCAGGCCGCATCAGTGGGCAAGTGGCTGACCCGTCCCGGCACAGCGAAGCCCGACTCCTTTAAAGGGCTGTGACAGCTTTGTGATTGCGTGCACGAGTGTCCACCACCTCCAGCTACCGCTCATTTAGGTCCCTTAAATACACATTTGAGGCTGTGAGCCTCCGGGGTAACCTGGAGAAACCCTTTCAGATCCATTTTTTCCTGATTCCTTCTTATGCCATTTCCAGGACTGTCTGCCATTTGTTCTCCTGAATCAGTGTTACCATTATCATCAGCCACCATGTCCTGCTGGAGGTTTTCGTCTGTCTCACGCACAGTCTGATTGTAAAGGACACCGGATTATATCATTCTTGCCATTTAGCCTTAACATTAATTTTACCCCATATCAAATATAAATTACAGATACATCCATCTAGCACATGCCTGGACTAGAAGAAACTCTGAATTGGATGTAATGCCTTTTATACACCATGTATATGTTATTGTATGTATATATGATGCTATATAGAATATCCAGCATGTGTGCGTGTGTATATTATGTGTATATTTATATAAATATATAACCAGTTTCCCTCCCCTGCTGACCATGCCTTTGAATTCCTACACCCTCTTTTTGTATATGAACTGTAAAGCATCTTGTATGAAAGAGGCTATAGAAAAATAAATTGTAATTTTAAAATAAGTTGTAATTGCTGCAGTTTGCCCATAGAATGGGGTGAAAAAATATGACTGGCTAGTGATGTCTCATTAACTTTAGCATCTCAGCAAACAAGCTTTGGGGCATAGAGAAGGTAAAACAGACACCATCTGAGACAGAACCCTTTGGACTTTAGAATTCTGCAAGGAGGTGGCACACCAGGGCTGTGTCTACACTGGGCCACTTATTCCGGAAAATCAGCCGCTTTTCCAGAATAAGCTGCGAGCTGCCTACACTGGCCCTTGAATTTCCGGAAAAGCAACGATGCTCTACTGTACAAAATCAGCCGCTATTCCGGAAAAACTATTCTGCTCCCGCTCGGGCATAAGTCCTTATTCCAGAACACTGTTCCGGAAAAGGGCCAGTGTAGACAGCCCAGTAGTCTTTTCCGGAAAAAAGCCCCGATCGCGAAAATGGCGATCGGGGCTCTTTTCCGGAAAAGCGCGTCTACATTGGCCACAGACGCTTTTCCAGAAAAAGGGCTTTTCCGGAAAAGCAGTCTGCCACTGTAGACACTCCTTTTCCGGAAAAACTGAAAATGGAATAGTATTCTGTTTTAAGCAGTTCCGGAAATTCATGCCAGTGTAGACACAGCCCAGGAGACACTGTTTCTAGAGCCCTGAGCGAATGCAAAAATTTGTATTCCCACCTGCATCTGTATGCGCAAGAAAGAGCTGCGGATACTCATGGATATAAAGTGAATGCTCAGAGATTGAAAGTTGGATTTTCAGGGCTCTTTTTCAACAGAGTTACTGGGGATTGCAATCCTTGGGTGGAATAAGCATCTTTTCATAGTCGATCCTTCTCACTCGTGAAAATATAATTGTTTAAGCTAAAGTCTAAGATTCCCTGTGACTCTACTGGGCTTTGGATCACACCCATAGAGACAGTGCTCGTATTCTATGCCTTGAAATAACTCAATGCTGAGCGACTACTGAACCAGCAGGGAAAGCCAGACTGTCTTGCTGGCATAGAGATGATTGATCACCTGTATTGATGTTAACACTCTGGCCTTGATGGACAAGATGGGCCCAATCCTACAGCTACTGGACTCACAAGGTTCCTGGAGAAGTCTCTTGGGGTTGCAGCTACAGTCACTGAGAGTTGGGTGCCTACCTACCCTTGCAGATCTGGCCCATGTTCTCATAAATTACAGCTGTGCATAAATTACAGATGTCACTGAGGGGATAGGCTGAACACCAGAGTTAATGACACCAGGAAAACCCTAGGACCACACTTTATTAGCAATCAGGCTGCACCAGCTGGATTCTCAGAGCCTGGCTACATTATAAACCATCACCAGTTTCATCCAGTTGTGAAGGCCCAAGTTAGGCAACATGAATTTAGATACTTGAAAAACACTGTCATGTCAGTTGTTTTCCTTGGTAGCTCACCTTTTCCAGTCCCCAAGCTTACCAAAATATAGATTCAATGGCCAAATGCAGACTTGAGGCGTAAGGTACAAGTTGATGAGTGGATACAAATATGCATTAAGGGACGGGAAGGGGTAAAATACACTTGTTTAAATATCCCTCTAGACAGTTCCAGTTTTGGTCATAAAACTTTACTTCAACAAGCTGAGCAGATGGCTTAATGTTGTGATTTATGAACTGGTTCTTGACGGCACAGCCGGAAAGATGGCTAGGGAAAGGGTGAAGCATACAATATGCCCACACTCATGTGCATTTACAGTCATTACTGGTACAGGCTGGTGTGCTGATGTCTCAATTGTGATAGGAAACAGCAAACACCACTTACAAATTCAAGTACGCTCTTTAATGATATATTCAAATGTCTAGTCTCATCAACCATGAATACAAAAATGCTATACTGGCCATGGACAATGTTAAGCAATTTCTCATTCACACAAGAATCACCACCTCCGGAGAACTCTAAAACGTACAAGACAATTTATTATTCCCAGTTTTACCTTCCTTCCAAATACTTAGACAAAAACAATGCAAGACAAACAAGAATAGAAAACATGTAATGCCACTGGCATAAAATAAAAAAAGCTTTAATCTGAAAACAAACACCGGCCATTGCAGTTATTCGCTCAAGGACAGAGACACAAGTGAAAGCTGCCAACGTCACACGTTCATAAAAAAAATGTAGACAGGAAACCTCTATGAATCTAAGCAGGGTTTTTTCCCCTTCCTGCTGGCAACATTTCCTTTTCTTTTCTGGGAGATGGCAGATTCTTTGAGAGTGCTAGCCTCGCTTTGGGTCACTTCCTCATCTGGCGTTATGGAAGCCTGGAATTATGTAAGAGACAAAATTCAAACAAAGAAGATTCCCTTTACTTTTTATAACATTCACAGTCAGTTTCGAAGATCACATCAGTCCTAGGAGCATGCACTTTCTGGAGACACATTAGCACTTCCTCTTGGAAAAGTGGAAGGCTTGCATATTGATGATAGTGTGGGGGAGAGGGAGAAAAGAGGGGGGGGTCCAAAGCACTTCAGACCACTCTGTGCAGATGCATCATTAAAAGTCTATAAAAATAGGCCAATTTAGGCTGGAAATTAGGTTTCTAGTAGTCAGAGAATCAGAGAACACTAAAACTGGAAGGGACCTCAAGAGATCATCCAGTCCAGTCCCCTGTCCTCACAACAGGACCAAGCACCGTCTAAATCAGTGTTTCTTAAACTTTTTAAGACCAAGGAATACCAAACAATTTTTTGGGGGGACGATACCAAGGATTTTTTGGTTGAACCTTTAAGGGTGGCCATTCCAAAGGGAAAAGTTGTTGAACAAAAACAAACAAACAAAAAAGGACGAGGAAAAGTAGTTAAGCAAAAAAAAAACCCCAAACAGTTTGCCCTTTTATCAGGAGAGCAGGCATTGCTCTTTTCAGGATGGCCATTTTGAACTCTGGTCTGCGCAGCACACCGTGTGCCACGGAACACACTTTAAAAAACACTGATTTAAATAATCCCTGATCGATATCTGTCTATTATTCCAGGGTGACAGGAAACCTTTCCGGATGTCCAATCTAAACCTCCCTTGCTGCAGTTTAAGCACACTGCATCTTGTCCTATCATCAGAGGCCACGGAGAATAATTTCCCCCCCCTCTTCCCTGTGATACTCTTTTAGACACCTGAAAACCAGTATCACGTCCCCTCTCTGTCTTCTCTTTTCCAAACTAAACAAGCCCAATTCCTTCAGCCTTGCCTCAAAGCTCATGTTTTCTAGACCTTTAAATCATTTTTGTTGCTGTTCTCTGGACCTTCTCCAATTTCTCCACATCTTTCTTGAAATGCAGTGCCCAGAACTGGACACAGTACAGGCAGTCCCCGGGTTACGTACAAGATAGGGACTGTAGGTTTGTTCTTAAGTTGAATTTGTATGTAAGTCGGAACTGGTACATATTGTAGGGGAAACTCTAGCCAAACATTTCTCCAGAGCTCATTTTTTTTCCCCCCCATCTCACTTCCCTCAGTCCTTTATTCTCAAGCTGAGGTGTCTGCTGAGAAAAGCCACTCCACGTCTCCCTGGTCTGCTGGGGGGGAGCGCTAGCTTCATATCTCCCTGGTCTGCTGGGGGGAAGCAGCTAGTGCAGGGTTGCCTCACCCCGTTTGTAAGTAGGGATCCGATGTAAGTCGGATCCATGTAACCCGGGATCTGCCTGTACTCCAAATGAGGCCTAATCAGTGTAGAGTAGAGCATAAGAATGATTTCTCGTGTCTTGCTCACAACACTCCTGTTAATGCAGCCCAGAATCAGGTTTGCTTTTTTTGCAACAGCATCACACTGCTGACTCATATTTAGCTTGTGGTCCGCTGTGACCTCTAGATTCCTTTCTGCAGTTCTCCTTCCTAGACAGTCACTATTTCGGTCCCAATATCTCTGCTTCAATTCCCCTGCTTTAAAGTGAAAGTAATATCTCTGTACCTTACAGAGGCTGTTGTGAGGATAAACTCATTAGGCTACGTCTAGACTACATCCCTTTTTCATAAAAGGGATGTAAATTAGACGTATCGCAATTGCTAATGAAGCGGGGATTTAAATCTCCCCCCCTTCATTAGCATAAAAATGACTGCTGCTTTTTTCGGCACGGCGCTTTGCTGGAAGAACGCGCCAGTCTAGACGCTGATCTTGCGGAAAATAAAGCCTTTTCCAAAAGATCCCTTATCCCTCTATGAAATAAGGGCCCCTCGGGCCGTATGTTGTGCAGGCCAGGAATAAAAGAACTGAATAGATATTTCAGTGACTACTGTATCTGTAGCACTGAATCGAGCAGGGGGACTCTGGCAAGAAGTTTGTATTGCGCCTATATCTGGCACAATGAACTTGATACATGACTAGGCATCCTAGCCACCACAGTAATACAAATAAATAAGGATGGGTTCATGTACGGATTTTTTACAAAAAGATAGGAGCAAGTTAAGTTTGTACAAGCAACCTTAATTCTTACACTTCCTAACTGTCAAGTGCTTGACTTTAAAAAAAGACAGTAAGTGTTAAGGTTGCAAAGTACATAACAGAATACAGAGGGGAAAAGCTAAAATAAGCAACTAGGTGAGAGCAGCTGGCTGGAAAGACTGAGGTGAAGCTGGTGGTGAAATGAGGCACCTTTCCACTGTCCCCCTACATTGTACATCTCCTCTCTCAAATCCACGAAACAACCCGCAGGCCTAGCGTCCACTTGGATTGGATCGTCCCATAGCTACAGACATAGGGGAATGCCCTTTTCAACCTACAGCCACATGCAGAGCCCTGAACAGATACAAAATTTGTACCTGCATCTGATCGGTGACCCGCAAACCCGGCCCGTGGATAAATAGGGAATAACTGCAGATTTGCAGGCCTCTAGCCATATGACAACTTTGCCTCCTCCTGGCAGATGCAGATTTGGCCACATTGAGCTACACATTTGTGGACCACCCGGCTTGATTACTGTAATTCTCTGCACTGAGCTATGAAAGCAACAATGTTAAATAAACCTGTCCTTAGTTCCGAATATAGCAGCCTGCAAAACCTACTTGGCAATACAGCCTTCTTGGAGCATATGATTCCCTTACTCTGCTCACTATATGGGCATCCCATTGAAAAGTGGGCATATCTAAGTCCCCATCAGTAAAACCTATGTCCCTGGGAGACTGTTACTGCAGGTATCTCATCACCCTGCACCATCATGGCCTCTTGCGACAGTTACACTGCAATGGACCTGCCAGCCCCAAAAGCAAGTCTTGCTTGTAGTGGAGACAGATCTTTCAGATGAAAGAAACTATCCCTGATAAAAAGCTTTAAGGCTAAAGGGTTTGGGGACAGGCAGTGCTCAAGGATGTGGGTAGAGGAGGAGGGAGCTTACATAAAATAATGTTACAAGGCTGATTGTTTCTATAGGGTGAGTTCCCCCGAGTTTAAACCTGTATTTATGTTATTAATTTAAGGGAGGAGAGTGTCAAGAGCAGGGGGAATAGTCAAAAGAAATGGGGAGTTGGGATAGCAGGATCAGAGAGCTTATTTAGGGTGCACAGGGTACCCACAGAGATGTCTGTAGGAGAAACACTAAGGGGGTGTGCTGGGAAGCGGGATCAGCTGAGCCCAGGGCCGAAGTGGAACAGGGGTTGGGGAAGCAGAGACACAAAGATGCAGGCCCAGAACTGACAGGCAAGGACTTTGTCAGATATCAGTCGCCACTTATCTCCCATTTGTAGCAAACCAAATACCCCCAAGCTACAGGAGGCAGCAATGGTTTGCTATTTCTTCCCACCACATCTCCCCCTCCCCCCTGGACATATTTGGGTCACCACAATTTACTAGACAAGTACATTGGGCACCAGGTGCCCCATTTTCATTAGACAAGTGAGACTGCCCAGCTATTTTTGAGAAGTCAGACAATTGTCAAGGGTTCAGGTGCCCCCTAGTGTTACAATTGCAAAAAAAATACAGTGGCTAGTTTCCTCTGGCCAACTTGCAGGATGGTTGAGTGAAAAAAGGAAACTAACCAGCTGAAGGTTGCCTCGGTCGGACGTCTTCGTTAAAACCCTTTGACTTGAAAGGTCAAAAACTGAAGCAGCTGCTATGCTCCTCTAAGCAGCCATCATGAAGAGTTATGAGTCACGATCCATCCTAGCAGCTAGTTGTGGGGGATAGTGTTTTACCCACAGCCCCAGGTGCAACCCTGCTCCCGGAACTGGTCCAGGTCACAGCACCTAACTCTAGCATAGGGGAGCTGGACCTACTCAGTCCAGGGGCCAGCCACCCTGTGACAAGGTCATGATCTGCATATAGCCATACATTCCCCAGATAGAACTGTACATCATATTACACAAACAAATATCCAGCACTCAGTACAATATAGGAAGGGATATTTTGACCAAGGACACTGGGGCAGATCCCAACTCTTAAACATATCCCAGAGCACTTTTCGTAAGTCCAGTGCAGACACAGAAAGTGGAAGGATCTCACCCAAGACATAAGTCAGATATACTCTAGAAACTTCTGCCATTATAATAATGTCAGTTATGCGTGCGATTTAAAAACAATCATACCCAGTAAACTGTATCCCTTGTGTGGATACAGACTGTACCTACACTAGGAGCACTTTACTGGTATGTGAGTATCAATACTAAGAAATCATGCTTAGTGGGACACAGCTACACAGGCAAAATATGGTTTATGGTACACTAGGGAAGTTTAAGGGATATATACTAGGCCTTATACACAGGAATCTCTAGCTATGGCAACATGGGTATGGAAACAAAATAAAAATTTACCTAAAAAGAATTAAGAAAAATTTCTGAAAGAGAGAAGTTAAACTTAGAAAGTTCACATTATAGTACAATCACAGCCCTGAGAACCCTGGAGCTGAATTCTGTGAAGACAGGCAATCCACTCCCAATTAAAAAAAAAAAATACGGGAACCTGAAATACACATTCAAAAATGCACTGGGGTCAACACGTTAGAGACAAGGAAGAAAGAGCAGTATTGAAAGTGATAAATCTGCACCACTCATGTTACTTCCTGAGGACTAGCAAGACCATACATGTGAAGATTAGGCTACTCCCAATTCCTCTGTAGCAAAATAAAAGCACAATACATTTCTTACCCTGTTTTGCTGGCTTGCGTACTTCTCAGTCCATTGTTTGGCATTTTGGATGAATACATCCTTGTTGTATTTATACTCCGAGGACTAGAAATAATAAAGAGAGGCAATGACAGATGTTTTCACCCAGATCATGCACCCATGAACCTTCTTAGCTCCTTATGCAGAAGGGTGAACACAGATACTATTCTGTCGCTGCTCTAACTTATATGGACCAGCATTTTCACCAAAGGAACAAAAGAAGAGTACATACTATGTCTGCCATGAGAGGGTCATCGGGGTTAGGCTCACTCATCAGCAGTTGTATAGAGGTCAGCAATGTGGAGATATTCAGGGACGGCCTCCACGCACCCTTCACAGAAACAGAACCATAAAAACAGCTTAACAGGGAGAAGCCTGCTCGTAAGCTGAGCACCTCTACAAGTCTGCTCAGACCGAGAATGAACACATTTTCCTCCGGAGTTTCCAGGCGTTAATGCAGTACACACGTTGGTTACCATTGTTTATACAGCATGAAAGACATTTGATGTCAGGTCAGTGGTTCTCAAAGTAGTAACATTGTGATCTTTCCTACAAAGGACAAAAGCATTCCATGCCTCACCTGGCTCTCACTCTTTTGACTCACCACAGCTAGCGTGTCAATGTACTCTCCAGCGCACAGACACAGCGATCATATTAGGGATGGGAAAGAGAACCGATTATTTGGTTAACCATAATGCTTACTGGTTTGGGTTAACCAGGAACCTGTGGGGGCTGGTGCAGCTTCCTGTCTGCTGCTGCCAAGCAGCCTCTGTCCACTGGGAATCATCCCCAGTCCAGGGAACTAGGGGATGGAGCAGTCCCCAGCCACGATCCCACTTAGTCAGTTAACTGTTAGGTCATTGTACATCCCTAGCTCAAACCTATTAGCTCTGCAGTTTCTATTCAGACCATTTCAAGAGAGTTATTTGACAAGAGTGACGCAGAGGAGTTCTCACTCCAGTTTAATTCACACTGGCTCACAGTGTCATCTGTCATTTATAACTATATTGGATCAGGATTTAGGCATTGAAGCTGTGATATTTAGAGGAGCACCTAACACTTAGGCACAAATTCCAGCCCTTAAAGCATTAAAAACAAAAATATCTTGAGTAACCGATGGCATTCATTCTAGTTACCTGCATCACAAGTATCCACATAAACAAGAGCCAATATGTAATATCCATGAAGCTTTTACAGCTAGGACAACAGGGGAGGTTAGCATTGTCTGTAACTGATCCCCACTAGAGTAGCACTGACTTACTTTGGGTGGTAATCTGAGAACATCCAGGCAGATCCTTCCAGCAGAGTCAATGTTGGGATGGTAGATGGGTGTCAGAAAGCGAATCTTCGGGGGTTCAAATGGATATCTTTTAAGAATAAGGAATAAAGAAACAGATTTCACATAAAATATAATCTAGCTGAATTTTCAGTTCCACTTTACCACAAACACCACCGGTGTCCTCTCCCCAGCCACCTGCAAATTCCAAAACCACTTCTCTTCATCAAGTTTTTGGAGAAACAGTCTCCTCTCTCCCCATGCCCTCTAACACGTGGCCTGAACAGTTTTCAGTTTGATGTCTGTCCTTTGCACAGCACTAGATTCTCTTTTGCTGGGAAGCTAACTTCTCACTGCCTCAGATTACTTGCCTCTCTCATTTTACCTGAAATCCCTTTTAGTTAAATCAATTCACTTCAGCTATAAACAGGAAAAAGAAAAAGATGCAGTATGTTTGACAGGAAGGTAAAAATAAACTTCCTTCTTACTATGTGTGTTGGCCCCATCCCCTCCACATTCCTACAGGCAGTGGGTTAATTACCTTTCAGGAACAACTACTTCCAAGCTGAAAACTCCTTTTTCATATGGCGTGTCTGCACCACCCAAAATTTCTTAAAGAAATAAATTAGACAACTATAAACATTCAAAACGGGTGTTCTTCCCCCTCCCCCCCACAAGCTTCTGCTAGTTGTGCATTCCCATCACACCGTTTATAACTTTAGACCGTTAAAACATTGACCAAACAAAACAAGGTGACGAGCTTGGTCCTGCCTTGAGGGCGGGGGGGTGGACTCGATGACCTCTTGAGGTCCCTTCCAGTCCTATTATTCTATGATTCTAAGATTCTAAGTGAGAACTAGGGAGGGTCTTAATCAGTAGTTATCTAAGGCCTTGTCTTCCCTTACCAGGAGATCAGTGGTACACATATCGATTTTGCAGGGGTTGATTTAGCTATGGCCCACAGGCTGGATCTGGTCCATAAGGCTTGGGGCTCTCCCTCCCCCCGCAGAGGTGCTCTAGCTATGCATGGGACACTGTGGCTGAAACGATTCCCTACTCCTGATTTAGTAAGGACACACTAAGAACTTAACAGAGAGCACACCACAGTGTGACTGTTTCCTCAACTCCTCCCCCTGGTCCATACTTTCTAGCCACATGACCGGGGATCCAATCAATAGGGAACAAAGAAGAATTCCAAAAGGAAAAATAGATACCCGAAGAGTGGTCAATAATCAAGCAAAAATTTCATGGACTGGGGTTAAGTTCATCCCCAAATTGTGAAGTGCAGACAAAATACACACTCAGAGGGATGCTTCACTGGCAGGTTTTGCCAAGACACTGCCCAGTAGACATTACCATGGCAGAAAGAAATCTGGAGTAATGCCTACCAAAAAGTCACGATAGTAATACATACGAGCTCGCAGATCATCCATCCGGTTTGTGTTTTGCCAGCACATAATGCCTGGGGGAGGTTCTGTGGTCAACAGATGCAGCTCTCTCTTCAGCCGTGAAGTTCTTTGCATTGTGCTGAAATATTGTAAGAAGAATTAGCTCTTTATAGAAAGCACCTTTCATTCTATATATATACACACAGTACAGCCTTCACACTAAGTCCCACCTAGAGATCTTGGTTAAAAGAATGGAATTATTTGTTGTTGTTGTTGGTATTTTAATTAATCCTCCCTTAGTGGGGTGGAGGGAAAATGGGCTAGATAAGGGTTTCTCCACCTGTGGGCTGGTACCCAAAATTGGATCACTAAAATGTTTCAAAGAAAGCAGCCAAACCATTCCTCAGCCACAACAGACCATAAACAAATGGATTCTGAGTCCAAAAAATTCAGGACTATGGGGCTAGATAACCTCTTGAGATTCCTTCCAAACCTCCATTTCTATGATTCTGTAAATAAACTGACCATCTTATAATGCAGCTCATGCACAACACAGGTTCAAATTAATCAACCATGCTGGATATCCAGCTACAAGTCCATCAGGACTGTTGGGACCTAAGCGTTTTATAACATGTTGTGAATTCAATACCGTTTAAATGTCTGTGGTTAAAACCATTTTTAGCAATGTCTATGAACAATCCCAATCAAACACGAAAATATCCTCACTCACCACTTGAGCCCATTGCTCCTTGTTCTGCCATCTGTCACTACTGAGACCAGCCTCTCTCCATCCTCCTTGGAACCTCCCTTCAGGAAGTTGAAGGCTGCTACCAAATCCCCCCTCACTCTTCGCTTCTGCAGACTAAACAGACCCAACTCCCTCAGCCTCTCCTCATAGGTCATATGCTCCAGCCCCCGAATCATTTTAGTTGCTCTCTGCTGGCCCCTCTCCAAGGCGTCCACATCCTTTTTGTAGTGGGGGGTCCAGAACTGGACACAATACTCCAGATATGGCCTCACCAGAGCCGAATAAAGGGGAATAATCACATCCCTGGATCTGCTGGCAATGCTCCTCCTAATACAACCTAATATGCCATTAGCCTTCTTGGCTACAAGGACTCACTGTTGACTCATATCCAGTTTCTCATCCACTGTAACCCCCAGATCCTTTTCTGCAGAACTACTACTTAGCTGGTTGGTCCCCAGCCTGTAACAATGCTTGGGATTCTTCCATCCCAAGTGCAGGACTCTGCACTTGTCCTTGTTGAACCTCAAGATTTCTTGTGGCCCAATCCTCCAATTTATCTAAGTCACTCTGGACCCTATCTCTGCCCTCGAGTGTATCTACCTCTCCCCCCAGCTTAGTGTAATCTGCAAACTTGCTGAGGGTGCAATCCATCCCCTCATCCAGGTCATTAATAAAGATATTGAACAAAACCGGTCCTAGAACCGAACCTTGGGGCACTCCGCTAGAAACCAACTGCCATCCTGACATTGAGCCGTTGATCACTACCCGCTGCGCCCAACCTTCTAGCCAGCTTTCTATCCATCTTACCATCCATTTATCCAATCCACATTCCCTTAACTTGCTGGCAAGAATATTGTGGGAGACCGTATCAAAAGCCTTGCTAAAATCAAGGTATATCACATCCACTGATGTTCCCATGTCTTCAGAGCCAGTTACCTCATCAAAGAAGCTAATCCAATTGATCAGGCACAACTTGGCCTTTGTGAATCCATGCTGACTATTCTTGATCACTTTCCCCTTCTTCCCTTTTTTGAAGATGGGCACTACAATCATCCGGGATCTCTCCTGATCTCCATGACTTTTCAAAGGTAACAGCCAAAGGCTCCTCAATGACATTTGCCAACTCCCTCAGTACCCTCGGATGCATTAAGTCCGGACCCATGG